ATAATTTAGCTGAAACACCTGTTCCCACAGGTACTAAGAGATTTTTATTTTCTATTCAAAACATAGTACTACTGTGATTGAGATGAGTGCCTGGAAGAGGAATGAAAAGAGGGAAGCATGGCTAATCCCAACGACGTGGAGAATCTTGCAATGACAATTCATATTTCAAATTGTGAGCTTATTACATGGGGGCACAACTTCTTAAAAAAAACTTTTGTCTGAAGAGTATTATACTGTGGGTACAAGTAGCAGTCTGATATTGGATTGCTTTCAAAACTAAGTAAGACTGAGGTACCAATAACATAATGGAGGATTAAACTATAAAGACTTCTTCAATATGATCCTTAACAAACATACATAAATATGTTCATTAAATATGTATTACCTTCAGCAGCACCTGATGTTTTCCTAAAGAACTGACCTCTCTACAGCCTCACCCATTATTTTATGTTGGTGTTAGAATTAAGTGGTTCTGCAGTTGTTTGAATACTGCATGCTTAAAGACTTTGGTTCCCTAGGGTCTGTGCAGTACACTCCCCAAAGCAGACTTCTACTGCTCTGTAGTGTAAATGAGCCCTGTGTGGGGCAGATATCAGTGTCTTACCCTAAAAGTCAGACCTGCAAAGGAATTTTACTTCTAAACTGTATTCAGGGACAATTCAATATACAGTTTGTGAACAGACTGGAAGCAGTGTCCAAGACCTCTTCTATGCCTCTGTATTAGTTGTCCAGAAACTCATGCTAGCTCTTGCTTTCTGATTGTAAGAGTCCTACTGCAGCAGCTCAAGGGGGGCCCTTTAGCCTGGCCAATAACCTGTAGGTTACAGAAGAGCTTGAGGAGGTGAGAGATGTTTCGTAAGTCTCTTGGGCAGAGAATGATTGATCTTACCAAGAAAGGAGTGTTTCTTGGCCCACCCAACAGCAGAAGTCAAGACACTGTTATGTTTACGAAGTGAAGCCTAACAGATGAAGGACTGAGGAGAATTATTTTTCTGGCTCCTGCTCTTTGCCATAAGTGCATTGGATCTGGGTTCAAGATGTCTGCCTGAGTAATTCTGCATAGCCACTTCCTCACACTCATGTGTGAGAGCTTGACTTTGTAAGTCAAGTATGTGCTCTCAAGCACTTTTTTCTTTAACTAGGCCAACCAAATGTTTTATATCCCCTCTTGACTCATTCCAGCTAATGGTAAGGAGCAATCTAGTGACTGTACTGCAACTGATTAACTTTTTGCCTTTAACTTATGCACATATAACTCTTCAAGATGAAGTCTGAACAGTTAAGAATAAGCAATAGGTTATTCCACTATTTACCAGATACTTCATTTTTTATTCTCTGCTATGTGAGGGATGAGGTCTTAAATATTTTTTTCCTTGAATCCTCTAAATTATATAAACCTTTATAAAATACATGCATTGATTGCAGAGTTTACCTTCTACCTAACCAGGAAATTTATTATGGTTCATACAGCAGAACTTGTGAATATTTGTATAACTAAGTTATGCTATTTCATCACATCCAAAGTCTCAATAGTTACATCTGTCACAAAGACTGAACATGGGATTTGACACGCAAATCTTTCACCAGATAAACTGTTTAAGCTATCTCTATCCCTCTGCCACTCTCATTAGCCATTTTTGCAAAAAAAAAATACACTAAATTCCCTCTTTTTTGCCAATGAACAACTATACATGGAATTATTTTCTAAATGGAACTTGTCTTACCTTTTCAATACTTTTCCTGATCCTATTCCCTTCATTGCTTCTGCATCCCCTCTGAGAACAGCAAGGAAATTCTTTGGAGTAACTTCCTAAAGATTTGAGAGGATTTAAATTAAATCTGGTTGTTAAAAACACCTACAAGAATATCCATTTTGAAGGTAGCTGCTGAAAGTCAGAACCCTTGCATCTTAATGGTGGCAAATTTAGCTGGCCACTGATGAAGTAATTCCCTTTCCGATATTTCACCAATTTCTAAAAGAACAGAAGCCAAACTGAAAAAGTACTTTTGTATTGGAATAAGAACATTTACCAAAGATTTTATAGTCATCACTGGGAACTCGTACACTCCTTCCTACCCACCTTACCAAGATAAAAAAAAAAGCCTTATTCTCCTCTGGAATTTTTTTGTTACAGCTTGCTGAGAATTTGGTTCTCAGTGGTGAGGTCAAATTAAATAGTTTGTATTACTTCCGTCCCCACTCCTCTCTTCATTCCTGCCATTCCACTGTGCTGATTAAAAAAATCTTGGATTTTTAAAACAATCGCTAAAGAAACTTCCAATCCTGAACCTAATCACTCATCTCTTAACTCCAGGGCTGCATGCATAACCTTTCCCTTTCAATCTATTAGTAATGTATTACCTGCTCGTGACTCAGATACTGCATCATGAAATCACTAAGTGACTGGATTACTGTTCTGATGTAACGAAAAACTTAGTTTTAAATAGTTGTTTTTTCAGATTGAGTTAAACTGGTTTTAAACACAACACTTTTGTCCTTTTTCTTTTGGGTGTAGTACAGAAAACACTGTAATAGTTTAATTTTGTAGCGACTGTTTCATTTCAAAGCACCTGTTGTGTATATTTATCTTACCAAAGGTTGGCCAAAGCAGGCAGGTATGAATAATCTGGATGTGCTTTACAGAGTGCCAGCTACCACCTAAAAAGATTTACTCAGACCCCTGGTTACTGTTGAACCACGCGTCCCCAGCGGAATGATGTTTCATTCCTACCTCCTTTGTATAGTCCTTGGGTACTCCTGCATACACATCTGTGCCATTAGGTCTGTTGATGACAATGCCTTTTGTTGGATTTCTGAAAGTCAAATGAGACAAATACGAAGAATTAGTTATGTGTCACAAAATGCCTACAGATCAACCAACCACCTTGTCTGAAAGAATTAGGGATAAATGGACTGTTCAACGTACAAAAAGGTCTTACAGTACAGTCAGTTACATATGCTGAGCTCAGGTGTCCTTATCCTTTCGGTAGCTTCAAATATGATCCCTGAGATCAGGTAAATTACTCTGAGGATATAGGAAAATGGTCTGTGATACTATAATCTCTCCTTTTTCAGTCCTGCTGCCCTTAATCCCCTTTACTCTGCTCCACTTGTTGCCATGTGTAGCAAGTTCGATATTTTCTGCTGAAGTAGTATTAGAATTAAAGCTTGTAAAGCTGAACCACTTTGTACTGAAAAAAAGTGATACAGGTAGATACAGATATAGATAATTGCCAGGAATGGGACATGTACACTTTGGATATATGCTTTGCAGGTTAAAGAAGAGAAAGTCCTTTTAAAAAGAAATACAAACCACATACTGAGTTTTTCTATGCTTAGGTTTTAGGCTACTTATCTGCTGTTAACTGTTAAGCCCAAGAGTTAAGATCATTTTCATACTAATGAATAATTTACAAAGAACCGTACGTTTTCAGTGCTGCAACTGATAGCAGATACTGACTTAAGGTTTAGAAAGCTGATAAGCATGTTGCAAAGCAGCCTCACTGCACTGTCAGATAAAATGTCCTTAGGTATATCATGAGCAGTTTTAAAGGCCTTTCTGACAGAACAACTATATGCTCAAAAGAGATTGGTGACCACATTTGCAGTAAACATAGTTTGACAGGAGTGCACTTACTCGTCATTATCTGCAATGTCATCATACATCATGACAATGATCTGCTCGTCTGGAATGCCATTTCTGTGGACGATCTGGTACGCATGGCACACATCTGCCTGGAAGTGAGCAGATTAGTCTCATTAACAGACTTAATGGAGACTTTCTCTTTGGGAAGAAAAATAGTTCGGCAGGCCTAACACCAGGATATCATCTACAAGAATCTCCAGACTGGTATGTTCATTTCAAATATGAGTGATTGAGGGTTGCTGCAGAGCTGAAATGCACAAATGTAACCCCAAAACTCAATGTCCTTCTAAAAATCCAGAAGAGGATATAATACAGAGACTGTGGGAAAAAAAATCTCTCTCATTAATTTGTTCCAAATTCTTGTTGCATAAAAACCAGATGTTTCTTGAGTGTTGCCATGCATTAAAAAAAAAAAAACTGCAGAAAATCTTGTGCACTAACAGAGCCAAACAGTGCCAAGCAGAGGAAGAGAGAGTTGGAATTCCACCAATTTCAATTAGTTCTGCACCAAGCCTGCACAACTAAGTATGGGCATGACACCAGATTTCAGTGGAAAACAATTGCAGAATTTCCATTCAAGCTCTTTTCCTGACTTGTACAGGACATGAATAAGCAGATTCTCTTTACAGACCAACTTCTGACAACGCAGACACAGCAGTATTTGTTAAAGTGATATTACAGTAAACTATGAACCTCTAGCGGTTCATTCTTATAGCCTCCACCCCAAATCCATCTTAGACTCCCAGTCTATCAATTAGTAATGGATTATCAAAAACCATTCTTAATCTCCAGAAGTATACCTTATCACATGCTAGAAATGCTGCGTGGATTTAATGGAATCTGGTCTAACACAGGCAAAATCCAATTGTAGCTGAGAAACACCCATTAGAGCTCGTTTATTGAGTTTTCTAATTTCTACACCAAACTGAACTGGTTTATGTTGACTTACATCAATGTAGTTGGCTTAGGTGAATTTGTACTTCTGACTGACTTCTGTTAGCCAAATTGAAAGAATCCTAAAATCCTGTACTTTATAATCTTAGCTCTTCTAAGTGTGGTTGAAGCAGAAAAGAAACGGTAGTTGCGCAAGGTTTTGGGAAGGGTAAGGCACGCTCACTGTTAACGAACTCTGCCACAGCAAAATCTCTTCATATGACTGATCTTTACAGTTACATCGTCCTTACAAAAGCAGTTTTACTTCCTTCTCTGGAAGTCAGCTCTTCCATCTCTTCCAGATAGTTTGTACTCCCTACAGCTCACCAGATATTTGTATGGCATTATGCCTTCTGTTACCACAAGAAGTCGAAGGGTACAGACTAGACAGTTATAAAGATATCAGCATGTAATATAAAATATCAGAGTACAGATTTTTAGCCAATGTGTTTGATTTTCAGAAACAAGTTGTGTAGAAGCAGTAGGAAACAGGGCATCTCTGCCCCTTGGACAAGCAGATCATCCCCTCAAGGCAAAGCACACTGTTATGCTGAGCAACTGAGACATGTGTTGGCAGCAAAAGGAAATGTTCAGCCATGTTTTAGTGATAGAATATCAAATAAGTAACCAAAATTGCTTCATTTTTTTAAAATGCATATTATCAGCTTTCGTTGTTCCCTCCTGTTTTCCTTCTAATTCACTAATTGACGTGCTCACTATCTGTTGCTCTACTTAGCACACTGCTTGCGGTGGGGTAAGCCTTTTTATCCTGTGATTGAAGGGGAGGCATCTGTGGCTTACATGACATTATAGCTGCTCCTAAGAGCTAAAGGAAATTTGTCTGAAGGATAGGCTCTTTTGGGGAAGAACTGAAGAGACAGAGGCTTCAAGTATCTCAAAATAGATTCCCTAGTGAAGACAGAAGCAGATGAATTAAATTTCCACCAAGGTGTTCTAGTTTATGCCTGTCTTTTTTTTTTTTTTTTTTTTTTTTGGTAACATTTTAAGGGATTTTGCTAAGGAAACTGTGCCCACTGGTAACATAACGATATCACTAACATTGTGATAAAAAAAAAAAATGTTTTGCACTAAAACTTCACTGGTCTCAGCTAGGACAATTTGGAGCAAACCTTGGTTTGGGGTGGCTCTGGCTGACCTGAGCAGTCACCCTTGACGTTGGGCAGGCACTCTTCCTGTTCCCTACTGCACAAGGACAGAGATGAAAATTATAAAACCAGTGTAGAAACCCAGCCTGCTGCTAGAGCAGCTAAGTGTATGTCAATCTAGTGTTTCCTGTTGATTTAAAAGTGTCTACCAAATATTGCTTTTGGAGCCTCAGTTCTTCTAGAAACCTTTGTGGCATTTCTGTATTTCTGTCTGCCAGGGAGTCAGCACAGTTCCAGTTCTCTTGTTGGCATCATTCCTGGTAGTTCAGTAAGTGAAATGAATGCTATGAGCACTCACTGCATAAAACAGTCACTAAAATAAGTCATTCTTTTGAAGTCATGTAATCAGGGTGGGTATGGCAGTTAAATGGAGCTAGGTATTAGAAGAGGGAGAGGTGCAACTGTACAGCTGCTGCTGCACAGCTAAGCGTGGGTGCCAGGTCAGCAAAGTGCTAATGGGAGGGTTCAGACCTTTCATCCCCAGGTTACTCTAAATGTGTAACTTAAATTTGCTCATGATTAACTCCATGATCTTGAAAGCACAGGGATCAGAGGTGGATCTCCCCACGTTTTCGTGGGATGGACATTTTTTATCCATGAATCTGTGGGGAAAAAAATTCTAAAAGAAAAAAAAAATGAAAATTGTGATTCCTCTCCCTCATAGTCCTGATTATTCATCCGAGTGACACAGTTTTCAGGCAGATTACCCCAGGTTTCTCTGGCTTTTTTTTTTCTTTTTTATGGAAAAATCAAATTGTCTTATGACACATGCATGCATAAACACTTCCTAAAGGAAAAAGCTTGAGGCTTCTTTGAAATTGGTTGCCTGTGGTCTTATGATGGCCAGGCTCATGTCTAAAAAGCATGTGTCATGAACTGTCGGCTTCATTATAAAGTGGCATTGCTCTTGCTACAGGAACAATGAAGTGCTGTGCCCTAAAAAAGGGCAAGCTCCAAGGTACATGCATGGTACATGAAACCTGTAAGACTTGGCAGCCACTTCTAGAAGCTGTTTGGCTCAGAACTCAGATGATTCATTGTTTTACTTCAGCTGTCTCATTTCTTTCCTTAAATATGCATCAATTTATGTAGCTGTGTAACTTGGGAAAGGTTTCCTAATATCTTCAGTTATAATTTTGTAAGCACGGTAAATGGAAGCCCAGTTGCTAAGGCATCTTTCATGTCTGTCACCTGAAAGACTGGGGAACTTAAAAGCACCATTCTGGACTAAAACTGTTACCTGTAGTATTGCCGCAAACCAGAAGAAATACAATCCCTGGCCCATACAGCTTGCTGCCAAAGTTTAAGACTAGAAACAACAACTGAAAGATGACCCAGGTATGCAAACTCAAATGTATTTATTTTCAGCGTTTTCATCTTCCTAGCTTTTATCATCTATTTTTCCCTTCAAGTACTAACTTCACCTTTAGTAAGACCCTGCATTTCAGAGCAGGTTTTTCCCTTGGCTACTTTCGTGTGTGTCTTTTGGAGGACGCTGAAAGTACTGGTCTGTCTTTCTGATCTACTTGTGAGAACCCCTGTAGATCTGAGGTAGTTGGTGCAGCCATCTCCCAGGAGAGGCAGGAGCATGTATGTCCTGTTTCTCTGGAAGAGAACTAATTAACTGGCTACTCTAATTCTCTAAATCTGACAGTAACACGTAATGTTTAATTTGTTCACTTATTTCACTGAGTCTTCCGAAGATGCATTATCTGGCTCTTTGCAGAGGAGACAGCTGAACCACTTTCCTATGGGAAGAACCTCTCTGCTCCTTCAGGGCCTAGAGGGGAGTTCTGGAATAGTATAGGAGATCTACCAATAATTGTGACTCTAGTCCTCCCACAGCCCATGCAATTAAAAACACTAACATGAGCGTGAGAATACCCAAGAACTAAGAGGAACCAATAATGGGGCAATATAGGACTACGTAGCCCTATGAGGTAAACATTTTCACAAGCTCTGCAGTAAAAATAAGCTCATCAACTTGGACTGTAGGCTATTAAAAACATTTAGAATTTGTTAGGCAACTTGTTGAGATTAATCTGAAGACATCTTGATTTGGAAACAGTCCCAGTTCAGCCATCAAACAGGAAGTGAGCATCTGCAAAGTGTGAATCTTAAGTGCCGATAAGTGCAAACAGTGGTTTTTCTTTATCTTGTCTGTGCTTGAGGTTTGCACCACTGATAGTGAATTCAGACCACTGACAGCTGAATTACAACTCTAGAAGGAGTTTCAGATTCCTTGCAGTTAAAGGATCAAACTTGCTGCTCATGGGGATCTGTACAGTGGACTCATTTTCCCATAATTCTTTATATATAAAATCAAAGACATTTTTGTTGCATATTTGAGATTACTTTAAAATTATCTTCCACCCTTTTATGGTTGCTTAATCAGATGAACACGTGCTGCTGGCGTGTTAACACAAACTCTTTTGCCTTCCACAATAGTTATCTGTCATGTGCAGGCACCACGTAAAACAGAGCTCACAAAAGATTTATATAATACAAGCATGCAACATATCTGCATGAACTATGCCCTGCACAGCTGAACTGAACAGCAGAAATCCAGAAAAGTATCAGCCGAGGTCTCAAAATGCAAAGGGAGATTAGGCTTGCTTAGCTGGTTTAAGGGAATAATATCGAGTCTGGCAATAAAATACGCACACTGAATCATTGCTTACAGGAAGATCCACATCTAATTAATTTGTATGCAGACTAGCACAGAGAAGTTCTGAGGAAGAAAGGCAATGGCAGGAAGAAACTGAATTATAACAAAAGGTATTTTCTTCTCCATTTTCTCCCTTGGAAAGCACCAACAAAGAATTACACAAATCTGCAATTCTGGAGCACTGCTTACTCCAGCAGTGTGTGCTTCCATTCACAAGTATTACTCCATGGAAGACTAGCATGATGTGTCTCTGCATACTCGCTACCAAATGCCTTTCGTGATGGTCAAAGCAGAGAACTGGAAATCCAAGTTCTATTTTTGTTCCTGTTGCATGTGACTTGGGCAAGTCATTTAAGGACTCACAGGGCTTTGCTTTCCACAGCTGGAAAGCAGGGGATACTAACACACTCAGACATGGTGATCAGCCTGCAGAATATTTCTATAAAATCTGTAATAACTCTTAAGGTCTCTGTAGCTGAGCCTTACCTTCTCTGTGCATCTCTTCCAAGAAAAGTCAGCCCCATTGCTCAACTATTTTAGCTGGGATAGTTTTTCCCAAATTATGTATTTGAGACCTTTTTTGTGGATTATATTAGGCGGCAGTAGATCTTCCACGCCTAGCTGCTGGGTCTGCCTCACGGCACGTGCGCCCAGCACCCAGGGCACCCACCCTGCCAACCCCTTAGGGCTGCCCCAAAGCTGCTCATGCGCTGCACCCTTTGGGAATTGATTCTGTTGGGAATCAATTAGAGGCACAATCTCTTGCCTAGGATGGATAAGTAAGTAAGAGCTCAATTCCACTCTTAAGGATCCTTCACACAGTCCCCCGTTTTCTGGTGCTGACTTCATAACTTTGATAGAATTCTTAGCATTCTAATCTTATTTTCTTCTGTTAATACTTCACCTGAAACAAGAAGCAGAAGCTAAAGTTACTTCTAGCATCAAAAGTTGGAATAATCCACCACTGCAGATCTTCTGCAGTGTTAGCTGACATTATTTCCAAAAAGGAAGCTGATTAAAGAAAGGCTGTTCTAATTTTTCTTATCTTGAAGTAGCTGTCAGCAAAGCATGACTAAATTTAAAATTAATTTGTTTCTGTGAAGTTCTGATGTGTTCAAAAGGTTTACTGCTGAAGGAAGAAATATATAAACACACATCTTGTTTTCTTCTTAACACCATATATATCTGGCAGATATATTTGCCATTGAAAGTCCACTGGCAGAAAGACTAAATGTTGTATGTCTGGGCAACTGTAGAAGAGGCAATCTGTTGAGCAACACCTTAAAAATACATAATTTTATTTAAGGAATGAATGCTGAGTTATTAACTCCTCCTTGAGTGGAAGGGAGCTAGTGAGACTGGTTATACAGCAATAGAAACAATCAAGGCACAACTCAGAACAATTAGACACTCCAAGGCAGGCAGTGGTAAATACAACATTAGCATTTTTATAATTATTTGTTCTACTCAAAGACGAGAGATTTCTACTTTAAAAACATATTTTTAGATATATTTTGAAATAGTTTATGCTATGGACTATAATATTCTAAATATGTTTATCAAGTGAAAACTGCAGCATAAGGAGATTGCAGAATCCTCAAACCAGTTTGTCACTGTTAGATTAGGCTTTGCCAGTAACAGGATCTTCAGAGGCAACAAGTTTGTCAGCCTGGTTCACTCTGATTTAAGCTGGTCTTTGCACTAAGTTACAAACTGACTGTTAGCTGAGGGCGTAGGAAAGGCATAAACATAAAACCCAGCATACTCAACACACAGACATCTTGTTTTTTTCTCAATAGACAGAAATACGCAGGATGAGATCTCCCTATATTTTACGGGCAGTCACATTAAGAACAGTAAATACTTAACAAGTTTCAGAGTTCAGCAAATCAGTTTGGTATATGTACCCAGCACATTCAATATAATATCATTTAATTTAAAAATGCTAGTTTTGTACACTAGTGTTTCAATCTCTGTTCAAGTGCATCTTAACTATCAACAGTCTAGCAAAATATTTTTCTAACATTTAGAAATACATGTTTGTATATATTATAAGACAAGAACTAAATGAAATGTGTTCTCCAGGAAGGCAAGAGCTAGTGCCAAATTTAGAGCAAAGACTATATTTAAATGTAGATTAACCTTTTTAAGGGATTGCTCAAGACTTCCCCAAAGGGAAAAACTGCTGAAGTCTCCTGACTGCTGATTTTAAGTCTTGAGCTTAATCAGAGTTAAGTCACTTGGATTTAATCTGGTCCATCCTGACATTCACCCTTAGGCCATAATTCCACAACACGCTGACCTGGACAGCAGTGTCACGCTCAGTTCCTGTTCCCTTTCTTGATCCTTCTGACATTCACTCAGATTCCTGCATCTCAGAGTACCATATTTTTTGTGCCAACCCAGCTCAGGGAGCTTGCTGTCCAACAGAGTAAGTTGATTCAAGTTAAAAAGAACCCCTTCCCAATATCCTCCACCTACAAAAATATACTGTCGACTTGCAGTACTAGCTAAGTCCTTAAATGGCAGAAAAAGAGGGACATTTTTTTCATAACATGGGTAACAAGAAAGAAAGTAGGTAGAACACCACTTACCCATCTGAAAGTTGTGACCAGGCTTCTCGCTTAGTAATAGGATATCAAGCCAAAAGCTCTCCTTGTCTTAACAGTGTGACTAAAGCAAGAATACTACTGTTCCTATTGCTAATAACAGCTTTCAAAGGGAGAAAGACTGAACAAGATGGTAAGAAAAAAACATTGAAGACGAAGGGAATTCTTGGGGTGAAAATGCCAGAGAGGAGCGGGCTTTTGGTCAGTCTTGTAGCTGGTTCTTTTTGATTACTATACGCTAGTACGTGCGTCGAAATATGGAAGCAGGACTTGCCCAAACGACAGAAGAGCTGAACTAGTCTATGCAGCCACTATCACCCCCTGAGGCTCAGGTCAGGAGCTTTCTGGAGCATGCTCACCATCAGCAGGCAGAACTTACCTGGTGCCGGTAGTTGTACCAGCCATTCGAACCTGCAACAATCACCACCCAGTGCTTGCCTCCATCTTCAGGTTCTTCCAGGGGTAACGCACTGATGCCCAGAGTACAGGCCAACAGCAAAGCTGCTTTCACTATCATCTCTCCTCTTTCTTTACTCTACAAGTGGAAAGAAAATCCCTAAGAAAAAAGTTAGAGAGAAGTAGATCAGAAGAATGCATGGAATATGTATACCTTTTTTGTGGGCTTTGGGTTTTTTAAAGAACACAAACCATAGGATGATTTCTGGTCCTATCTTCACTTAGCACCAAGCTGCTGCTAGTTACAAGACTCTACTGTCAAGATTTGCAAATCTGACTGAAAGCAATTCTGAGCAGGACAACCACGTCTTTCAGCTCTCTCTGGCTGTTCTGTCCTGCAATAGTTCATAGTGATTAAGCCTTAAACACAGAGTAAGTACTACAGTGAAGTACTTTCCAAATAAAGCTTATTAATCTTATATTCTCTTCTCCTGGTCTCTGCTTAGCTAGCTCACTGATTTCCACTTGCTGCAATTAGCCCACTACCAAGTTTCATCAGCATTTTGTCTAGAGATCGAGTCAAATCCCTGGTGATGCAGCCACAAAAATGCAGACAGGACCACGAGGGCACTGAGAGGTCCCAGTGTCACAAAAGCTTCAGTGCCTGCAGAGCTCGAGAGCGAGGGAGAGGCCATTCTACTGTTCTACATGAGATGGAGCCCTGACTGCTGAGGTCAGGGGGAAGTGCAGCCTGTGAGAGCCTCATGCTATTTGTGCAACCTGTTAATGCTCGTGGAGAGCAAATGTGAAGCGGTACCACATGAAAGAGTAGCATTTTTCATCTACTTTTCACTATGGTTAAGTGTTTGCATGAATTTTTTGCAGAGCCAAAAAAGGAGTTTCAAGCACAAGCAAAAAAGGCCCCCTCTGCTTTCATGAGAGGACTTCAGGTAGTGTTCCCATCAGTGAGCTTTTGAGCACCTTGATTGTCTGATAAAGTCTTTTGCTTTGAAAGCAATCATTAAAAAACAAAACAATGTTTTTTTTTAAAAAAAATGGCCAAATTGTTAGTCATACAGGCTCAGGTCTGCTGTGTCTAATGTGCATTTGTAAAGGAAGCTTCCTTTAGGAATTGCATCTCTTGGCACATGCACAAAGATTGAAAACTTTCTCATATTTGCATACTGAAAGAGGGATTTTATACTTGCCTAGTTAAAAAAAAAAAAAAAAAAAAAAAAAAGATTCTGGAGCTGGATGGCTGCTGGAATGTGTCTTAAGAGGTGCTCTAAGGGTGGAGCACGCAGCTTTAGCAATGTTCTCCCTGGAATAAAAACCAGAACCTGCCAAACCACATTACCCCAGGCATAATGTGGAAGCTACCATTCTACCAAGAAAAACAATCAAAAAAACAAGAAACAAGAAATCAGTCAGCCTCAGTTCCCCCCAGCCTAAGCCCTCTACTCCTGAATACTCGGATTAAGCTGAAAGAGAAAGCCAGCTCACTTGAGAATCAGCAGTGTGCTAGCATGATGCAGCACATGTCTTTCCAGGACTGGATTTGTGTGTCACTACCATTAGGTCATGCAGACACCCATGCAGGCAGCAGCATGAAAAAATGTGCATGTGTGCATACTATTGAAATATTGTTTTCCCTTTATTTAAAAAGGAGCTTGTACAAAGCGGAGGAGGTCACATTAGTCTATCTGGTCCTGTAGGAAGAGCTGTTATAACACTGAAACCAGAGAACTGAGTAAAAACCCAAAGTGAAGGTTCAGTGCTGTAACACTGGTTCTTCCAAAAACTCTTCCAATTCTAGGATACTTGTCTCTCTGGAATAAGCCACTCCTGACACTGCCTGCAAGATTTAGGAGTGAGAACAACATCTGATGATCTAACAATTTGGGGTTTGCTAAACTATTAGCTATTTCCGCAGTCCTACACACTGAAAGAACTATCAGCATTTTTGTGTAGTTGGAGGGGCTGTTGTAATTTCTTGTGCTGAGCTGCAGTTGTAAATTCTTGACATTTTTGTGGCCGAACAGTGACAAATGAGTTTACGTGTCATCGCTTGCCTTGTCCACCTTGCCACTTCCACAGATGATTCAGAAAATAACACACTTACAACTGCCTTGGAGACAAGCTATGTTTACAACAGCCACAGAAGAAGCCTGCTCTGTTCTGTACAGTACAGCTGAGGTTCTGACCAAAGCGTTTAAAGTTTTGTGAAGTGCCATAATATGCCATGGGCCTACAAGCTTATTCCTCCCCAATACTTAGTTTCAGGTATATCTAATATATCCCTGATATACTAGACAGGAATCTTAGACATCTTTGAAACCTTACGAAAGTCTATCTTAGTGGAAGATGGAGCCGAGTTTCATGCTAACAGAACTCGTACAGCTCAGTACTTTTTCACAAGAAACCTGTTCATTGAAGCAGAACTTCTTATTTCTCCAACTAAAAATACTACTCATGCTTACATAAAAAGTGCAAAGCGGAAATATGTGGCTCAAATGATTATTTAAGAGTTAGAAATCCCTTTACAGGATGCTTAGTTCGTGGACACATAAATCAGTAGTTCATATCTGGGACATATCAATAGAAGCTGGATTGGTGCCAACTCTGTGCTGCACAGCAGGATGGCTCACATGAAGCCAGGCCCTGGCATCTGTTGTATAGAAACAGCCCCTACTTATAGTTTCCAAAACTCTGTACTGCAGAGCGTTGGCTCCAGAATGGGAAGCAGTTTGCCCGGATTATCTCTATGGGCCAGCTCACCCCCCAGGCTGTGCTAACACAGATCTGCTCCTCTCAGGACGCTCGAGAGTCCTCCCTGCATGTGCACGACACGGGTGTATCGGCTACCACCAGTCTCTGCAACCACCCTGCACTCAGGGCCAGAATGGAAGGAAAACGAAGTTACGAAGCCTCCCAGGCAGCCTCTCTGCAGGGAGGTCAACGGTGCGACACAACAACCTGCGAGTCCTAAGATTCCTCCTCTCTGTTGAGGCAAAATTGCAGATGATGCAGAAGTTGCAGGAGGATAAACAAGGCTAAGAAATATTTGTGTTATTTTACCATTAGAAAACCACATATGTTTTCTAATGGGTTATTAAGAACGTAAAACAACCTCTCTTATTGTATTTAATGGCACATAATCCCACATATCTATCTTTTTGTGCATTATAATTAAACCAAACTCATTTCAGAAAGAACAGGAAAAAAACTAGGCACATTAGTAAGGCATAATTAATAAGAGCCCAGCTCCCCAGAGTTCTCTGAGCAGCTTTTAAACTAGGTTTAGCCATTAAATACATATGTAGTAGAAACAGGTCTTTCATAGCTTGTTTCCAACTACTAAAAGAAAAGGGAGGGAAAAGAAAAAAAAAAGAGCTGCATATTTCTGCTTGTTTTTAAAGAAAACCTTTAATTGTTCAGGCAACTTAAAAGATAGTGTTCTGTGTTATGTTGAAAGAGTTACTGACCCACAACTGAGAAGAGAAAGTTCCCATCACATGCTATATTTTCAGGTCATATTAGAAGAGAAACCAGCACAGCTGACCAGCTTGCCACAAGCATTAAAGCATGCAGCTTTTCTTTGCCTTCTGACTTGTGCTCTCTGTGTTTTAAGGAAGAAGTAAAATAACTTGTTATGCACGTGTCCTAAATACATACTTTGTGTGAGTCTTGCTACACACCATGCAAAAATGATCTCTACATGGAAGAACTCAAAATTCACTAAAAGATCATTTCAGAGCTTTGGCTGACCCAAAATATATGGGGTGATTTGATCGATGCCACCCACTACCTTTCTGCCAGGCTCGTTTGATTTGGGGTCCATAGCAGAGAAAAGACACCTCTCCCAGGCAAAGGAGGTTCAGTTCTGAACCACAGCACATGTAGATGCTGCAAAGCCTGTGGAAAGAGCACAGCCAGCGCTGGGTGCCTATTGCCAGACAGCTCTTCAAAGCTTATTTTCCTCCTTGAGGTCCCTTGGCCATTTTCCATCACATTACTAGCAGGCATCCCTGATTTGCCTAGGATGAGGATGCTTTAAAAAGACCACATCCGGCACTGGCTGGAGGCTGCTGGGCAATTCTGTCTGTTCTCGAATTTCCTTTGGGGAAAACAGTCCACTAGGATCAAAAATCAGAGGAGCAGGGCATGACCAGGTCCTCCTCGAGAAAGCAGCTTGAACTGATCTAGATATTCTCCACTGGTTTTAGAGCAAGGTTGACACTGCAGTACTTCAAGCTCCAGATACTTTAAACACAGCCTCTATTAAGAGCTATGTAAACAGCAAACATACACTCAATTTCCCTTCCTGTGAACTGAGTAAGTTAACAGGAAGCTTGGAGAAAACTCTTAGCTATTTTTAGAGAAATGCTATGCTCATATATGCACGAGCTGATCATTACATTGATCTTACTCCAGTTCAGCTTCTGTTCTTACAACCAGTGGCCATTCAGTTTTCAGAGTCGTCACCACTGCACTTCACAGTGTTTGCATACTGTCTGTCGCTGTATTATTTAAATGTTGATTTCCCCAAAGTGTGACTCATGACAACCCTCTTAAAAGACACTAATATCTGCAGTGCTTTGCCAGCAATATTTTTACCTATATGTGCTGTGCCATCTCATGCCAAAACTGAAGCACCTAAATCTATGATAAACCTCCTACAGAATTAGTCTGATTTTCTGTATACATTTATAAACAGAAAAAGAATTTTTCATGCTCTAGGTGACCCTGCATGTGGAGAGGGGTTGGACTAGATAATCTCTGAATGTCCTTTCCAACCTTAATGATTCTGTGATTCTATGATCTTGGTGAACTCTGTTGAAAGCAATGGAGACCAGGGTTTCTTCTGCAATACAACTCTGTACTAATTTGGCTAGCAACCACTTTAAGATTCAGCTAATTATTAATGCTTGCAGTAATTAACTACTGAAGATGTGTAAGTCAGTTCTGCAAAAGCAAGGATTTGTAATTATGCTACTCAATCGGGCAGTTTTAAGCATTTTAATGTTGTGTAAGGGTTGTTTAAAAGTCATTTTAAATAAAGTATATTCTACTGCTTGCAGTTTCCATTTCCCAGCAAAAGTGGAATGGTACAGTTTCCTGGGGGGCAAAAAAATGTTCCTTACGCTTGCTAGGATGGGA